CCCTATCCCCCTGGTCGTGCCTTCGCCCTCCACGACTGTAATTGTCAATTGACCCTTGATAGAGCAAATGACATACTGCAATTAGTTAGAAAGAGATTATGATGATTATAACCTCTCGCTTATGCCACTTGAAACAAATATCCTTTCTTATTAAGTATTTCAAATACTGGATGCAGGTAATTCAATCATTTTTTACATTGCTTTTGAGATATCTGATTAATATAGAAACTTAAAAGCAATATCCCCTTCAATGATATATTAAGGAGTGCACCTCCAAATTTTATCATAACATGTAATTTTATTGTAAAATATTCTCAGGATTATCTTAAATTCTATTTTCATATTTAATTAGAAAAAATTAAATTTCAAAAATAGTTAAAATCAAGGAGATCTATAAATATATAAAAATCTTGAAAATGGATGGCCCAGATAATGTGCTGCAAGATGCATAATTTCTGATACTCAAAAACTTTTTTTTTTATATTCATATGTCTCGATGTCAATATAATCAAATAGAGGGGTTTTCAACATTAAAACAACCTTTCCGATAGACTTTTGAGGTGCATCTAAAATTCTATATTTTAAGGTTGCAATCTTATATAAAATTTTTCCAAAGTTAAAAGGATTAATATAAAGGTGCGGTTTGTGTAGAGCCAAGGCTCTAAATAATCAAAGTAAAGCGCACCTTCAAATAGGGCCGAGATATATGGTTTCAATATTGGACATTTTTGTGATAATGTTAAAATATATTTTCATATCTAATTATAAAATGTAAAGCTTCAAAAATAATGTGGATCGAGCACATCTATGAAAACTTAAAAATCTTGAAAATTAATGGTCAAAAAATGCATTACAAGATGCACCATTCCCAAAACTTGAAATTCAATTTTCTCGTATCCATTCATCTTGATGTCGAAATGAACAATTTGAGGATATTTGAGAAAACAACCTCTTCTAGTAAACTTTTTGAGGTCGACCTAATTTGATTGTTTAGAGCCTCGCAATTATATACAAAAGATAGATAATGGAAAAAATGGCATTTATACATTGAATATTTTAAAAAATTTAGAAAAAAAGAGAAAAATATGAAACTTTTCAAATAATCTTTAAATTTTAAAGTTTTTGTTCTATCGACACTATTTTCATAAGTCTAATATTTATATTTGGGACTAAAATAGTTGTTTAGTTCATCATAAAAAATTTTGATCCAAAACTCCCAACTTTTAGCAAGATTTAGACATCTGCCTTCCTTTGATTGTTTAATAATGACACCTTATACATACTGCACCGATATAAAGACACTATTATTAATAAATTATAAAATATTTACAACAAAATATATATTTTATCTATACCCCAACAGATCCAACCGCACCCGATCCAATAAGATAAGTCCAAAACCGATTTTAGAGCCAGGTCATATTCGAGTCAGACACATTAACATCCCCAGGGTAGAGAGCTGGTGGACTCAATAATTAAGAAGTAACGAGGAGAAAGGGAGAGACGAATGTGGAAATGAGAAATATCGGTCCAGATCGGATCCGAGTCGGACACATTCACATCTCCGGGACAGATAGCTGGTGGACTCACAATCATTATGACGTTGAGACGACACCAGAAGAGACGAATGTGGAAATAAGACAAAAACAAAGTTAGGTTAGGCCGCTCGTTGTAGCAAAGATCGAAGCAACGTGATTTTTGTGGTTCACAAAATTTCATAAAGAAAATAGTAATGACAGTATATATGAAAAAAATTTATATAATTTCATTAAAAGAGGTTGTTTTGTTGTCCAAATATCTTTAAATTGGTCATTTAGACATCAACATGCATAGACATGATTAAAAAAAAAAAAGGATTTTAGTTTTAGAAATAGTGCATTTTGTTATGCATTTTTTTATTGTCAATTTCCAAGATTTTGAAGTTTTCATAAAGATGCTCGTTCTAAACCATTTTTAAAGCTTTAATTTTTTATAATTAATGATAAAATATATATTTTTAAGGTTATCACAAAGATTTATAATATTAAAATCATATTTCTCGGTATTATTTGAAAGTGGGCTTTAATTTGATTGTTTAGATCCTCGGTCTGTACAAACGGGTTTGACGAACAACCTAGCTGGTGGATAGGCACATTGCTTAGTCAAACAATCGAAGGGATAGAGAGGTGGCTTACAAAGATGGTTCAATTTTGTGAAAATATTTTTGTGCTCCCCCGCGAGCATCATGTTTACCACGTAAATGAAATTGAGAAAAAGTTAATGGATACCCTAATTTATAGGTATCTCCTCATACTTTTTCAGTACTTTTTGATACTACACTATAAATCTTGATATAATTTTTTTACATCCATCTAAAAATAGTTGATTTTTTAAACCAAAATATTTTGTTGTTTTAACCGACATTTCCATGATGTGACCCGCAACATGTGTCGGCCCGGTACACAATGTGTTGGACCTGCTTCTGACAAAAAGTACCAATCCAGACACAAACGTGTCGAACTGGCTTTTTTCATATTCAAAGTCCGATACCAAATGCATTGGCTGGCTTATATTTAAATTGCACTTGGTCTTGTTGGCTTCTATATTTAAGTTGTATTTATCCGGCACATTTTGTGCTAGACCAACCTAGAGAGAGTAAGAAATGTGGGTTACGATGGTCATTTGGTAAAAAAAAAAGAAAATTCAATTTTTTTACTTGCG